ACCCCTTCACAAGAGAGATGTAGAAGCGTACGAAAAATGAAAACAAAGGATGAAACAAGGTATAAAAATAAGATAAAATAAACACATAAAAAAGCACAAGTCATAAAAAAAGGAGCAAATATAAACATTAATAAATTCCAACATCTAACAAATAGATGCAATTAAGGATGCCTCGCCACCTCTTGGAACACTATGAACTCAAAAGTGACATAAAATTGAGATGTGAGGCACCCTTATTTATTGACATGGATTTTCCCCTGTGGAACCGATCTAGGTATTGGCATGAACAAAATATTAATAAAATGAATGGAGATAGAGGGACCGGCCATGCATGCACAAGAGGGAATCATTAAGGTGGCTAAGGATTCAAAGAGACAAATTTGGACTTCAAAGAAGTTCCAAGGCATGCATTTAATGTAGCTCAATTAATTCCAAGGCTTTTTAATGGTTTAGAATTAATAGTTGCCAAGCCTTGAAAAGGGTGGTGTGGCTTAACAAAAAATGAGCAGGCAAGCCAACTTGATGATGTGGAAGTCAATAGATATGATGGTGGTCAAAGAGTGGTCAAAAGAGGAATATAGGCTAATTGAGCTAGGATGGGGGTAAGAAATGGCTAGCTAGCTTAATGCTCATGTTCATACATCCACATACACATGACACATAATAAATCATATGAAACATAACATGAAGACCAAAATATAACTAATATAAGAGACCAGAAAAGAAGAGGGTCCATAAAATGATAATATAGGAAAAAATAAAATGCAGAGCAAAAAAAAAAAGACCAAGGTATATGAACTCTAAATTCTAGGGTAATGATGTTCATGATTGAAATACCCTACATCACCAACTCACAATCAATAGGTGCCACATGTTCTCCACCAACAACCAATTGCTTTGTGTGATTCTTTTCAAGTAAATTGGGTGGTTAAAGAATGAGAAGAGATGCATTAGTTCCAATGAAACAAATAACTTTAAGCAAAACTTGATCGGGTTCAAGACTATAATTATGTCCTTTAATGGCGGTCAAGGCATAAAGCAACTGAATAAAATGTATATCTTGATGATAGCCAAGTAGAGGGATGAATCTAACTGATTCAAATGTTGATCCATTGAGAAGGATATCTTGTTAAAACTCACGCTAATGGATGCCAATTGTTGGGAAAGATAGATATAATGGTTATAGGATCACAAAGTTGTTATGGACATGATATAACGTAACAACCCTTTCCAAATGCTTCTGCCAACACTAATAAATAAAAGGCCCTGGGCTACAAAAGTGAGGTTTTGACACCAATTACAATTCTTAGTTCTTATTTTGACTTCACCTACTAGTCAAATAGCCCCCTTACAAACCTGAGCTCTTAAGGCCTGAGTTTCAATAAGTGCAAACAAAGGGACAAGAAGAAAGGAGAAGTTAGCGTAAGATCTAAACCCACTTGGCACCTTCTAAATTACTCAAGGACTCTTTCTTACTCAGTAAACTTATAAATCAACGTCAATAGGCCAAATTTCTCAAGCATTTTTCTCTTTCTTGATTTATTGCACAACGCTTAACTTTTCTTCCATGTCATTTAGCATGTTCTATTCTTTCCAATCTCAGCCGGTAGTAGTCCCATGGCTTTGATTGTCCAAACCTAATCGAGCTATTTCTAACTATATTAACCATTAAGATGCCTAACCTTAAGAAAATAATAAGAATGTCAAGCTTAGAGAATAGTGTAAAGTTGTATAAGTGTTAACACAACTGATAGTGAAGTCAATGATAATTAAAATCAAACCTAAGAATAATCCTTCATTGTAATTATCTTCTTCCTTTATTCAGTAGAATCCTGCGCACATTGCAGTAGTCCATCACTTAAGGTGGGAAGCACATAAGAGAGCAATATACTCTAAGAAAACAATTTTTCATTCAACCATCAAGAATCATTATATGAGAAGGTATGGCTATAAATATTAACTTGAGCATAAAATAAGCCAAACTAAGGGAATGGAAGAAGGAGGTGCTGCCCAAGCATGGGGAAGAAGGAAATCATCACGGTGGTGAACAATTTGAAGAGCCAAATTTTATTTCCAAAGACCTTCAAGGATGTTCAGAGATTTGAACTTAGTATAGATCAATTACAAGGTTGCTTAATGGAAGAGTGGTGTGGCATGTTAAAAAGAGATGTGGCAAATCATTAACTTGGTGATGTGAAATTCAACTATGCAATGAAGATCAAAATATTGCCAAATGGGGCAAAACAAGCTAATTGAGCTAGCTTTAGGTTAAGGAATGGCCAAGTTAACTTGATGTTCATGTCCATATATTCACATACTGATGCAACTTAAGGCTCTGATGTCAAATTGATGCAACCTAAAAGCAACATTGATTCTAGGAATGCAAATTACAAACTTTCTTTCAATATAACAAAAACAAACACCAACAACAACAACAATATCAAGCCTTTATCCCACCACGTGGAGTCGGCTACATGAATCCTTTTTCTCCATTGTGTCCTATTAAAAGTCAAATTCTTGTTTAAATCTAATAAAGAAAGGTCATTCCTAATATTTTCTAACCAAGTCTTTTTAGGTCTACCCCTACCTTTCTTAACATAAGTCAAATCTAATACCTCTACTCTCCTAACCGGGTCATCAGAAGGCCGCCGTTTTATGTGACCAAACCATCTAAGGTGACTCTCTGAGTCTCTCTCTAATCTTATCTTCAACTGGAGCTACTCCAACCTTTTCACGTATCTGCTCATTTCGTATCTTATCTCTAAGGGTAAAGCCACTCATCCACCTGAGCATCCTCATCTCTACCACACTTAACTTAGTATTATACTTCTCTTTTAATGGCCAACATTCGGCACCACATTATGCTTCTCTTAATAACAAAAACAAACACCGATAGAACAAAATAGCACACCACTTCAAACTCACATTAAACAGTGCATAACAACACCTTAGAACTTACAATAAAATAGGACACAACACCACTTACAACTTCCAATAAAACATGACACAACAACATTTTAACAATCAATAAAACGGGACACAATAACACCTTACAACTTCCAATAGTTTTAGAAGAAGGACACAGATGGAATGAAAGCCTTGGAGAGAATAAGTAGATAAAAGTCCAAAATGAATTAGTAGAGGGAAGGTATAAGAAGATAGCTCACAATTTAAAAACCAGCAGGTTTCACATTCCAAAAATTCATCACAAATCTCTCTTTCACAAAGGAAATTAGCCACTTTATATTGGAGAGGAAGAGGGAAAAGGCATTAAATGCTCTCCTAAATGAGCCACCCAATGAGCCACTAAAATACACCCAAAACAGTCACCATGAAGGGAAGTCAAAACATCATTTATAGGAATCAGCAAGGAGCAAAAGAAGACCAGCCATTAGCAAGGATTTCGAGATAGCAGGGAATTCGAGCCAGCAGGGAAACCGAAGGGCCAGCAATAGCGAAACTTAAGTCTAGCGAAAAACAATGAGCCAGCAGGGAAAACCGAAGGGCTAACAGGAAATCGAGGGGCCAACAGGAAACCGAGGGGCTAACAGCAGGAAAACAAACAACCACGGGAGAAAGAGAGCTAGAAACATAAGTGAAAAATAAAGAAAACATAAAATAACTAGCCTTGACCACATCACATAGACATGACATATAATAAATCACATGGTTTAAAACATAAAGCCGAAAATCTAAGAGACTCAAGAGATCTGATAATACAAGGGTCCATCAAATAAAAATATAGAAGAAAATAATAATTGCAAGTTGCAACAAAAAAAAAATCTTAGGCATATGAAACTTGAATTCTAGGATGACAACGATGATGAATGAGATGCTCTACATCACTAGCTTACTACCAATGGGTGTCACGTATCCTCCATCCCATAGTCAATTTCTCTATGTGACTCTTGCTTTTCAAATAAAGTGTGTGGTTGACACCGGGTGGATCTATCCGGACCTATTTAGCCAATCAAACTCACCTCCTCTCTATTATTTTTTGTAGTTGAGTGCGTGCCCTTGTAAGTAGCCAACAATTGTCTATATAAACAACTAACATTTGTAATAAAAGGGGAGAGAAGATAATAAATGATGAGTTTGGTTTCCATGTGTTTTGTATTCAGATAACTTCATGTGGTGTTACCCGTTCTTGGGTATTGTTTTGAGCTGCAATTCCTACAGCTTGTGCTCCATCCGTCTCTCATCTCTTCTAAGCCACGACTACCCTCGTCCGGTATTAGTGGGTAAGGAATGAGAAGAGATGCATCAATTCTAATGATAAGAAGAATTTGAAGTAAATCTTGATCAAGTTAAAGACAATAATTAAAAAAATAAATAAATAAAAGTTAAGGACAATAATTATGCCCTTTAACAGTGGTCAAGATATAAAAGGTGAGCGGATAAAAATGTATACCTTGACGATAGATCAATAGATGAATAGTTCTAATCGAGTCAAATGTCGATCCATTGTGAAGGATATCCTACTACAACTTGCGCTAATGGAATGCCCCGTGTTGACAAAAATTACTAGATTGGTTAGAAGATCAATGTGGCACCTTGCAAATTGTCCAAGTACTCTTTCTTACTCGTTGCACATATAAATCAACCCAAGTAGACTCAATTTCCTGGGCGAATTTATCTCTTTCTAGACTAAATACACAACACGTTGCTTTTCTTCCATTGTTTATTAGTTTGCTCTTTTCTTTCCATTCTCATTCTGGAGGTCAGTCCCTAGGCCTTGATTGTCCCAGCCTAATCGAGCTATCCATATCATTGTTATGACTTGAAGTTCGAAAGATAACAAGTTCTAATCAAATCATGAAATCACCAGAAAAATCACCAAATAATTAGCAGATAAGTGTTAACTTTATCAAAACTTCTATACATAAATTATATCAACTGAAAATATTAGAGATTTTTAAGGAAATTGTAGTGAAAGAAAATGCTCTCTTTTAGATAAATTTTAGCAAATGCAGATCTGAAGATACGGTAAAGAAATTTACATGGTACAGCCAAACAATGAGGTTGCTGCATTACATATAACGACGCAGGATCTGCTTCTCTATATGCAGCCATAATTTTAACTGTACTTTGTCGAGTATCATCATTAAACCGAAGCACACGCCACTGATAACCAAGTATTCTAAAAAATTCATCATGATTATTAAGCTCTGGATGAATCTTTGCATACCTCTCCCGAAGCCATCCTTCTACAACTGGCCACTCCTCTTTAGCCTGCAGAAACATGAAAGGCCAAGAGCAAGTGCCCATGAAATTGCAAGTAAATCAGTGCAAATAAGCTAGAAAGAAATAAATAAGAAAACAGTAGGATCTTTCGTCAAAAAGACAAATAGATTTAAAATATCTACGCATGAAAGGGAAACATATCGCAAGAGCTTACCGGTCTCGAAGAAGGATAGGCTGTAACAGAAACAATACCATTTCCATGCTCGGAAATGGATCGGAACACGGTGTGTCCTTCGGCGCCAGCATCGCCCCACCACTCCGGCGAGTAGAACCAGTGGCCCTCGTCGTCCAGATCACGTAATACGGCGGTGGAGAGACGCCGGATCTCACTACGCCGAAACCCTGCGATTCGGGTCAATTGACGCATAGCCGCATAAGCTAACCCCAAAGTGGACTGCACTAATGAATATTAAGCTTAGAAGTGAGAGTGCATTATTTAAGTATTTGGAAGATTTTTGCTTTTAACTAAATGAGGGCTTTCAATTCTCTAAATTTGTGGCAAGATTTAGGTTTCGTTAGGGACGGCTTTCTTGCTGCTTCTTAAAGAGACTTTCTAGTTAAAAAATTTTAATTTTTATACTAGAAAGCAGATTTAAGAAGCAGGAAGAAAGTCATCCCAAACGAAGCCTTAGTGTGTGGTAGACGGCAAATTATTCTGTGCTAGTTTCTATGTCCGGATTCCAATTAAATTAAAACATATGGTTTTCTTAAGACCCGATGATCTGACACATTTCAGTTACAAAAATTTTAAAATTGTTGCAGCTCACTCTTTTTTTTATATTTTTAAAAAAGAAACCCATAAAAACTCTCAAATATTTAGAGTTTTTGCATAATAAAATTATTGGTGTATGTTAAGAAAAAAATGAGAAACAGATGATGATAATGGAGATTAATTTAAAGGACTTCGCATTATCTACAGAGCCATTGGAAAAAAATAAAAAGGTTAAGAGTCACCTTATCTAATAATTTCTTTTCAATGTATATTATGAGGCAATATACATTTTGCTAAGTTTAATTTTTCAATAGAAAAATCTATTGTAAAACAAAATACAATAGAATTGTGTTCACCTTCAATGCATATCAAGTTCTCAAACAAGCTCAAATACTTTAACAATGAATTTATAAACTCTGCATCAAAAGTTTATGTGTTTTTTGTGATGTTTCACCCACATTCATTTAGGTTGTATTCTTCAAAAATTATTTATATGCCAAATGCAACGAAAACACATGCTTTTATAAATTAACTATGTAAAATGATAATTTTTTAACGTTTATTTATTGTCTGGGATGTAATTATTATGCATTTTTTCTCTTTTATTTATGTTATATTTTATTCATTTTGATGATGTGTACCATTGTGTATTGTTATTGTATGCTACTGTGAATTGTTGTTTGTGTACTAATGTGTACGGCATGAATGTTATGTATAATGATTTATTTTTCACATGAATTTAACATATGATTCCTAGAATAAATGCTGGAAGATTTTTTCCAAAATTAGGTGTTATAAAACAGGCATGAGAAGATAATTGTTCAAACAATAAATACAACAACTTTTTTTTTTTTTTTCAAATAATCAAAAACCCCCCATTCTCCTCATTCAATGCTTCATCCAACAACTTCCACATATAAGTGCTAGAGAGAGCCTTTCTATACTGCTCATTAAGCCTTAAAGATTTTATTTTCATGAACATAACATATTGTGCAACCCAATCTATTCATTTAAAGAATAATAATGATGTAGATTGATGTTAGATACAGTTATTTTTGAGCATCTAATGTTTTTCATATTTATAGAGCATTTTATTATCAATCCAATGAGAAAAGACTTAACATATTGATTACACTATAATTGCTTAGTGTTGACTTTAGACCTACTTCCCACTATGTTAGGATGTTAATCTAACTACCATACTCATGATTTTTAAAACCATATATTTTATGTAAGATCTTAATATAATATTGGGTAAGCTATTGCATTAGCCATTACATGAGGGCATGAAATGCATTTTATTCAAACTATTGTATAGTTTGATCTATTATTTAATCCTTAACTCCTTACTAAGTCATGATTGCTTATGATGTTTGCCAATTAGGTTATTGTTGACAAGCCACTCTTTTATATCTAAAGTATTTGATCATTTGCCACCAGGTTATTGTTGACTAGCCACTCTTGTATGTCTAAATTAAAAAGAATTGTTTCTTTTATCTTTTTATAGCAATAACCAAAGTTGTTTAATTTCTAATAATATAAAATATCACTGAAAGTAAATCTATTAATCAAAGTATTAATATTTATCTATATTCATTATCCAAAATTATATACAAAAGTTATGAGTCTTATAATTAAATACAATAAACTATATATCCACTCTTGGGCTCAAAAGAACAACTAAAATATAAAGTTATAGTAAAACTTAAAGAATATTGCATCTGATTAGTCTCGCATTCTTGAACTTCTTCTCCAACCTGAAACCATTAATTATATATAATGAGCTTATAAAGGCTAACAGGTACCTAAAAATCTACTATTGAACTCAAATCATGAAAAAGTATGCATGAATTCATTCAATTCATAATCGTAGAAGTTAATATGACCATAAATCTATTTAGAAATAGTAAACCACATTTGGTAATAGTAAAACCCATAAAATAGTATTATTTGGATATTAAAATAGTAAGGTTGTAAGCCATCATTCTTAAACCAACCATCATAACAGTATTATTCAAAAAGAAAAAAAAAATCATATAAATTAGTAAAGCAAAAGTATCTATAAAAACTTTCAAGAATCTATGATTATGTAGTACCATCAAAAAATTGTGTAAGAAAGTACATAATACTCAATTATTTTTGTATTAGTATCTTAATCATAGGCTAAGTAATAATAAATCAATAACATTGAATTAATAGTGATAAATCAGTGACTATGAATCAATAACAATAAATCGGTAACTTATATTTCCAAGCATAATATTAAACAAGCAAGGAATTCTGGCTCACGTGGTATTTTTCTAGAAAGTAGTTTAGTAATAGTGAACCAGTAATAGCTTTCAGTATCATAGTCATCACTCTTTCTTGTTAGTACAATGATTACTCCTTAATCCTTATAACTCACAATAAATAAATTACAGGAATCAGTAGAGGATATCATAATATTTAAAGGAAAGCCCGCCAGTCTATCATCATGTGCTGGTATAATATAATCTCCAACCAATCTCAGTAATAAAACAAGCTTTCTTATTTATGCATATAATATTATAAAAATAATAACGATTAGCTATTACTCATTCTATTCATTCATAATACTTGATTTAATAGTATAATCATATCAGAATACCTAAACCACAACAACAAGCCTTTGTCCCACTATGTGGGGTCGGTTACATGAATCCTTTTTTGTCATTGTGTCCAGTCAAAAGTCCAATTCTCATTTAAATCTAATAAAGAAAGATCACTTCTAATATTTTTTAATCAAGTCTTTTTAGGTGTACATCTATCTTTCTTAATATAAGTCGAATCTAATACCTCAACTTTCCTAACCGGATCATCGAAAGGCCTCGGTTTAATGTGACCAAACCATCTAAGGCGACTCTCTCTAATCTTATCTTCAACTGGAGCTACTCCAACCATTTCACGTATATACTCATTTGGTATCGTATCTCTAAGGGTCAAGCCACTCATCCACCTAAGCATCCTCATATCTACAGCACTTAACTTAGTATTATGCTTCTCTTTTAATGGCCAACATTTGGCACCAAAAAGCATTACAGATCTCACCACCATCTTATAGAATTTTCCCTTAAATATGAGGGGGGATTTTCTATTGCACAATAAACTCGATGCATTCCTCCACATCAACCATCCTAAATCACTAATCCTATATAATTCATTCAAAATGAAATTACTTAATTTTAGCTTGTGAAAATACAAAATCAACCAGTTAAAAATAACTAGAATGAACAGTACTACAACTTACAAAAAGTTATACAATAATAAATTTCTATAATCATAAACATGCAATAAAAATCAATTTGGGAGAAAAAAAAAAGATATAAATCAAAATATTTGAAAATAGGAGTAGGTTAGAAGTCACATATAATGATTTGAGAAAATTATAAAGAAGCAACCAAATGAACCGTCGGCTAAAAGCCCGCTTTCTCTTCGCTCTCTCCTCCTACCCTTCTCCACTTTCTTCCATTTCTACCAAATGAGAAGGAAAGAGATGGCTGAGTGGATATATATATATATATATATATATATATATATATTACGCTCAATCAAACAACCCTCAACTTTCCCTTGATCTCTTCCTTATTTATTGGCCATTACACTCTCATAAACTTATAAATAAACCCTTCATTCTTCAATAGAAATAGGTCGAAGGAAAAGAAGATCGAAGGAGAGGAAGCAAGGAAGATAAAGAAGAAAAGGAAGAGAGAGAAACTAGAGCTCTCTTGCCACGGGAATCCTCCTTGACCACCGACTTTTGCCGGACTTCCACTCGGCCACCAATTGACACAGGAATTCCACCCGGCTTCTTATTGTTGGACTTACACCTAGCCACCAACAGAGACCAAACTTCTGCGTGGCCGCCAACTGACACCGGACTTACACTCGGCCACCGACTGGCGTTGAACTTCTGTCCGACCACCAATTGATGTCGGACTTCTGTCAGCCACTATTATCTGCCAACTATAATCCTTCCAACCTCTGTCGTCATACAACGATCTTTGTGATCTTTATCACTAAACTACGATCTTTCCAACCTCCATCGCCAGCCGACTACGGTCCTTCCGACCTTCGTCGTCAAACTATGGTCTTTCCGACCTCCGTTGTCAAACTACGATCTTTATGACTTCCGTCGCTCACCAATTATGGTCCTTCCAACCTCCATTGCCAAACTACGATCCTTCTGACAACTGTCACCCAACTATGATCTTTCTAACCTATGTCGTCCGCCAGCTATGGTCATGCCGACCAAAATAACATGTTAAAGCTCATTCTTCTAATTCCCACCATGTAATGCACTTTATATGATGTATTTACTACATCAAGCCAAGGCCTATCCCCCTAAGGGTCTATTTTGGGACCGACTGCATATACTAGTGGATTCATTTAAACTGGGGCAAAACCCGTGGTTTTTCCCCTTTTTAGAGGTTTCTATGTAAAAATTATGGTGTCTCTATGAATGCTACCATCTCTTTTATCTGATTGTGTACTTAATCTTCATACACAGCTAAAATGTTAAATTTTATATTTCTCTATCGTCATGAATATTCAGCAAATATATAATAAAATACCCACTAATTTCTTTCCATTATTTCTGTTTATTTTATATATTTTTAGCTTTTAGCACCTATTCAATATTATTATTAGTATAACTCACCGCTTGTTGCATAAAAATATGAAAAAACGTGTTGAAATAGTGAAATACTAACCAACAAAAACCATTTTATAAAAATAAAAAATATAATAAGACGAAATTTATTGAAAAATAACATTTTAATTTAAAAAAAAATAGAAAAAATAGAAGATATTTATTAAAATAATAATTAAAATTGATTTTAAATTTATATTAATAAATAAAATATTTTATTTACTGACGAGATATATATATATATCACCAATATACAAATAAGTTATGAGACGTGGCTTAGTCTTATCCTCTTATCATAAACTCTCTACGCATTAAATTCTCTCGCCTCTAATAATGCACGTTTCTCATCAAACTAACCCAAGTTTTTCTTCTTATTTACCATGATGCCCCTGGCTTAACAGCCCGTATAATGAACTAATCATTATATTAATCTATAAAAATATTAAATAAAAGAACTAATTACGAGGGTAAATAATTTAGGCGGTTGAAAATATTGCATTTGGCAATCTGCACCCTGAAAATTAGGAAATTGCGTATCTATCAGTGCCAGCGAGTGACAGTTGTTGAGGGCTGAGACTGACAGTTTTAATGAGCAGATAA